CTTCTGCAAAATCTCTCCTTCCTTCGGATTCATCCTATAGTGTGGCAGATTTGGTAGTCGAGACCCAGGGATAAAGTCGATCTGATGTTGAACGTCCCTAAGCATGGGTAATTCAGAAGGAAGATCATCAGGCATAACTGCATCAAACTGCTGTAAGAGGGTCTGTACTTCAGGTGAAATTTCGACAGTGGCAGACTCATCTTTTCCCGAAACTACAAGGGCATAAATCTCATCAGACTGCTTCACATCTTTCATAAAGTCTTCATTGTCAACGACCAAGAAATTCTTCTTTTCAGCCACATTGGTTTTGACAGGCCCCTTCTCGGTTAGAGGCTTGAGCACAATTTGGCAACCATCCTTCTTGAAGATGTAAACGTTATCTTTCCCCCTATGCGTGGCATCAACATCAAACTGCCAAGGTCTGCCTAACAACATATGACATGCATCCATCTCTACTACATCGTACAATACCTCATCCACATAAGTTCGGCCAATGGAAAAGGATACCCGACACACTTCATCAACCTGTACGTCATTACCCTTGCGAATCCAGCCGATCTTGTAAGGAGCGGGATGCTTTTCCGTCTTCAGCCCTAACTTCTCCACCATGCGCCGAGAGACAATATTCTCGCTGCTCCCACTATCAATGATGACATCACAGATCTTCTGTTGCACCGTGCATCTTGTTCGAAAGAAGTTATGCCTCTGCGGTGGTTCTTCTGCCTTTGGGGCCAACAGTAGTCGCTGCACAACACATGAGAGTTGTTCTCCATCATCATCAGCATCCAACCCATCATCATAGTCTTCATCATTGTCTCGGTCTGTATCCTCATCTTCATGATCCACCATGTTCACAGTACCTCTTTTAGGGCACTGATTGGATCGATGACCAGGCTGTCCACATCTGTAACACTTGATCGGGTCAGGTTTGGCATAAGGGTTCGCTGGGGTAGGCTTCTTTGCTGTTGTTGTCACTGGACCCTTGCCCTTATCCGTTGTTACATCCTGCTCAGGAACAGTTTGAGACTGTTTACTTCCACCACGTTTGAAACTCGTGTGCGACCCGTCGGAAGCTACCCATGATCCTTTACTACTTCGTCCGAGTTGTCGATCCACCTTCTTGGCTAGGCTAACCGTATCTGCTAAGGAATAGGTCTGTTGTAAAGATACACGATCCTGAATCGCCATCCTTAATCCCCCTGTATATCGAGACATCTGTTGGGCCTCGCTTTCGTTCAAGTTGTTGCGGGATGATAGCCGATAAAATTCTTGCGTGTACTCATCCACGGTTCATCCACCCTGCTTACAATTTTGGTACTGCCCGAATAAAACTTGTTCATAATCACTTGGCAGAAAACGGGCTCTCAGCAGCTTCTTCATCTTCTCCCACCTTTCGACCTTCGGCTTCCCTTGACGAGATCGATTCAGACAAACAGATTCCCACCAAGCTGAAGCTCCACCTTTGAGTCGGTAGGCCACCAATTTTACCTTGTGTTCTTCTGGGATCTCCATATACTCAAAGAACCTCTCTACTTCTGCAATCTAGTCGAGGAACTCTTCAATATGCAGTTGCCCGTTGAAAGATGGCAGATCCATCTTCATCTTGAAACCTCCAACGTCATAATTATCCCTTCGTCGTTGGTCCCTGCGATAACCACCGCGGCGTGGGGGTGCATAATGATCTTCCTCGCTGTCGGAATCTTCATATGGAGTTGTCTCACGTCGTTGGCGACCATCAACGCGATTTCGATCTCCTGTCGTGTCCAGACGCTCTACTGTCGCAGCTAGTCGCTCCAAGACAGTCTTCATCTGATTGACATCGGCCTTTAGCACGTCGAACTCAGTTCGAGAGATATGGGCTTCTTCACCTGCCATCGGATCGGAGGAACAAGGCTCTGATACCAATTGACGCAGCGCGGAAGTTGTAACCTCGGAATCCACCAAGGGTGTTCTCTGAATCCACAAAGAACGATCTTTGAATCCACGAAGAAATATTGAGGAAGAAAAACAAACTTTTTATTAATCAAAAGATATGCATCTAGGGCTTACAAGACTCTTCTTAAATAGAAAAAGAAACAAGACTCCTATAAGGACTCTAATTCCTACAAGGACTCTGAACTTACCAAAAATAGTAAAGAATTCCTAAAATATTAAAACTCCTAAAAAGAATCCTTGTGAATAGGAAAGTCCACCAGTCAAATCTGAGATCAAATCGGATTTATTTCCTAAACAAAACAGACTCCTAAATTATTACTAAAAATAGTAAAAACGGACAAAATTGTAATTATCTCTCAAACCGTAAGGAATTTGGCAAAACTGAGAACGCAAACCGAACTCGACGTACGGTTTAAAAGTTACCTTCTCGTCGAGATAGTCGATTTTCATATATAATTCGTCCAATTCCGACGTACGGTTTGAAAGTTACGACCGTTTCTTCGAAACACGTTATTTTCTTCGACCAGGTCCGCATTTGCGACTATCCCACTTTGACATAAACATGTCTGCTGTGTGTTCTACATCACTTTGTAACGATCTTTAATAAATGTTCCATCCAAAAATAATAGAGGCCTACACCCAGCAATGAACCCTTCAATTACAGGCATTATAACTAATGAACAATCGCATGAACCTCCCGTCATCAGCATCAATAACAACACAATGCCCTGGATTAGTTGCATCCACCATGGATTGATATCTGCATGAATATAACAACAAAGCAGTAACCTTAGCAACGGATTCATAACCATAACAATTGATCTTCAACCTGAACAACCAACACGTATACTTAACAACGAACCAATAACTTTAACAACTAATACATATAGTTAGCAACCAATACGTAAGAGTGATTTCAAAAGAATAAAAAAGAATGTACTATCTCAGTGAATCGTAAGCCTCATCATCGTCACCGAACAGGTCCTGTTGAGCTGTCTCCTTGCACCACCACGTTTTACTGTAGTTAATCTTGATGCCAAAATTGGAGAGCATGTCGTTCTAGATATCAATTGTACGAAGATCTGGCCTAACGTTCAAAATAGCTTGTATTTGGCCAGTAATAAACTTCCTTGATGCCCTTAAGTTGCCAGTATTTGCTCCATGTTAACCGCAGGTGTGGGTAGATTCGAAATTCTTTATATACATAATGATCGTCGAATTTCTAAGCGAGGAAGCAAACAACATCCAAGGACAACCTTGTGTGTGCTTGAATCGGCAATAAACTCTTATGCGCCTTTGTTAATTGTGGTAAAAATCATACTCGATCCGTTTAGCAATTGAATAGTATTAAAGTGCTAATCTAACTTCAGCATCACTATCAAATTTCTGACTAACTTCACGTATGGCGGTCAGCCACTCAGTTGGGATCTTTGTTTGGTGGTTAATCATGTCTTCCAACAGCATGATCAAGTCATCAGTGAGGTTGTCATTAGGAATAGCTCTTCATTACAGGTATGGGTGAACATGGTATCTGCTCATCGCGAATTTTCTATCGGTATGGTCATGAAGAAGTAAAAAATTACATAGCCTCAGCAACAAACTCCTAACCTTAACAGCCAACTCATAAACTTAACAGCCAATAGCAAACACCTAACCATAGCAACCAACTAGTATATGTAATAGCGAACTCATAACCTTAGAAAAAAAATCTTAAACCTATTTCATGAAATAAGCTAAACAACTCAAACCTTAACAACCAGTCCTTAACCTAACCTTGACAACCAACTCATAACCTCAGCAACCAATGCATAATGTTAACAACTGGCAAAACCTATCAATGAACTCATAAGGAAATCTGAAGTGTAATGCCTACGCATTTTCTGGCATAGTCTGCGTATTCTGCGAAGTTGAGGATTCCTCAGCGGAGGTAGCATACAAATTCACGTCTATAAAACGATTACGACGACAATACTCGAACATCAAATTTACGTCATCGTCGTTGTCAATTGAAATATTGATTTCTTTTCCCTTTCGCACATGAACTTCAGTGAAAAAGATTACATTGGTATTTTAAGCCTTTCTGACACTTGATATTTTAAGCTGATTATTTTTGTATTCTCTTTGATAACAACGAATTCAACGTCACCATCTTTGTTGCTTTTTGCCTTCGTTACCACGCAAAGAAGAGATACATCCGTCATTTTATTACAGGGATTGAAGAATTGAAGAGGATTTTACTACGGAGAATTAAGTGGAAGGAACATAGTAGTTGAGGTAATAGAATAAGGAGGAACTCATCAATTTTATTACAGCGGGAAGGGGAATAGATATGATGAAAATTTGGAGGAAAATGTGACCCCCCCCCCCAAAAAAAAAAACATTCTAATCACCAATTAATGTTACAGTATCAACGTCATATTCCCAACGTGAGAGGGCGACGGTTACAGGCTATCTAGGGGTATTTTGAACATTTCGTGAGGGGTTTAAACAACGTTTCGCCTAGGGATTCGTTTTGAGAGCTGGAAGAAAATCGTGGCGAATTTTAGGGGCAAAACACCCGTTGAAAAAGTCTTTGAGCGGGGGACACGTTTTCTTTGGTTTTAGGGCTAGAAGCATTTTTTCCTAAAAAGTAAGGATCTCTCCCTTATTTTTTGATAATGGAGAACAGACCCCGCTACCAAACAATAGTGGATATATTACCTTTTTTTTAATCATATCTATTAACTTGACCAGTAAAAAATAAACATTCATTCAATATTTAACACTCATTTATTGTTAAAAATAAATTTCCGCTACTTTTTTATTTTGGATAATATTAGAAGGGAAATTCCCTAAGGACCCAAACCCATAGGACAAGGGAGGGGACAGGAGAGGTGTCCCCTCCCCATTCCTCCATGCACTGTTCATCCTCCTCATTCCTCCATGTATTGTTCATGAACAGTGCATGAAGCAATGAAGAGGGGACACCTTACCTATCCCTTTCGTTGTCTCATGCGTTTGGGTCCTTATAACATTACTCATGTTAGAATCAATGGAATGGAAAGGATCGGAAAAAAAAACCTCTATGAAGTTGCAACCTGCCATAGTTTTCATAAGCTTCGAATTGATACAAGGAAAAGTAAATTTCAAGTACACATTTGAGATGACAATAGGAGCCACCAAATCATAACGTCAGCATTTGATTATCCTTATTTTTTCCCTTGGCTAAAAAATAAGAAAGAAAAGATGAGGGGCCCATGATAAGTCAGCATTCAACAACCCTTGTCAGGAAGAGGGGAAAAAAGAGAGGGAAAATTGAGAACATGCTAGTTGGAAAATAAAATTAATCACTTGATTAGGACCCAAAATTAAGCATTATCCACGTGCCAAATTAGCTGCTTCCGGGAAACAGAAATATGTAATTAACTTTTTTTCTATCGGCAAGTTTCCATCAAAGCTCTTTCCAGCTCATTTGCCCCAACCTACATCATTCACATAACAAAAGAGATTAATTAAATTAATCAAAAACATTAAAAAAAGGCAATGTTGCATAAAGACCCACTCACTATTTAAATTACATATTTCTTCTTTTTCTAGTTTACAATTTAGGGGTAATTTGACCTCTAAAGCAATTGTATATGAGATTCTAGATCAATTAGAAAATTAACAACCAACTAAACGGTAAACTAAGGAATCATTTTGGAACAAAATTTCAAATTAAACCCATTTAATATTTTTATTAACAAATTCGACCTACTCCCATTTTATTTCTCAAAACCGACTCATTTTGTGGCCACGTCAGCAGTGTGGCCACGAAATGGGTCGGTTTTTTTAATAACGTCTCTAAATAGTCGGGGTTGTCAACCCCGACTATTTAGCTATTTCAGGTTTGGCAACCCCGATTATTTAGCTATCTACAAGCTAAAATAGTCGGGGTTTCCAAACCCGACTAATTTAGGGTCATGTCTAATATGTTGGGGTTGCCAACCACGACCATTTAGCAAAGACTATCCACCCAACTCAACCGACGAGTTGAAATTGGCTAAGGAAAATAGTCGGGGTTCCCAAACCTGACTATTTTATTCTGGGTCCTGTCGCCTATATAAACCCCCCAGGTCGTTCTCAGCCCTTATTCCACGATCTTAGTCGCCTCTCAGCGAGTTCCCAGTCGCCTCTCTCCATCATTGTCGTCTCCCAAGCCAAAACTTGCGCATTTCAACGCCATTTTTGTGCGGAATTTCATCGTGAAAGATCTAACAGGTACTTTCTCTCCTTCTCTCCTCTTTTAACATGTAGAAAGCTAGGGTTTTCTCTCCAAAACGAATTTATAGCGTTTAAACTCTATTTGTAGTGGTTTATTTAGAAAATTTATTCTTGTTATAGTTGAAATTAAACATTTGGGGCATAGAATACTCAATTTTAGGGTTTAGGATTTGGGGATCAATTTTAGGGTTTGGGATTTGGGGGTTTACGGTTATAATTGGGTTTTAGGGTTGTAATTGATAATATTTTTTTAAATTTTTTGCATTTAAATGATATAATTTTGTTTTGCATAGGTTGAACAATATGATTTTTATTGCTTGCTCTAATGGTGGAACGATTAATTATGGAATGAATAATATGCCAATGTACGTCGGAGTGACAATCCCGTTAATGATATCGGAATCATATAGTTACCTTGACTTGGTTAATGAATTGCATCGAGTTACGACAATTAACCCACGAGAGTATCGACTAAAAATAATATGTAATTGGTCGATATCTTATGCTAGAACGTCCGCAGTTGAGATCTCAAACGATCATTCGATAAGTATTTTGTTTAATTTGAGCAAGTCACAACCAACGGTAGAATTATTTATTAAAACGGTGCCACATAGGACGGGCCAAACCCTCCAGGAGAATTCTCACGCATGTTAGATTTGGGAGTTGAGTCTGAAGGCTTCCTTTCTTCTTCGAGTGAAATGCAGCGGACTCAATTTCAATATCACAGTGGTGCACCTTCATATGAAGAGGATGAAAGAAGTGACACATCTGATGGTGAAGATGAAGATAGTGCACCAATTGACAACATGCAATTTGTATTCAAAATTTGAACTTTTATTTTACTTCATTATATTCTACTTCATTTATATCATTATATGTGTAGATATGGAGGCGGGACCATTGACGTATGAGGTCCTTTATGACCAACCTCGACATCGATTCGCGAAGATTGACAATGGAGATGTAATTAGATTGATAGTTATAAATTACATTTTCGATCATATCAATTATTCTAAGTTATTGATTGTTACTGAACATTTGTATTGTTTATTATATGCAATCCCCGAGCATTACTATCGTTGATCATACTCGTGCACATTCGAGCTGGGAGTTGACCGATCCACATGTCCAATATACTATCGTTGATCATACTCGTGCACATTCGAGCTGGGAGTTGACCGATCCACATGTCCAATATTATGTCCGTCAAGCATGCTTCTTTGAGTGCTCACCAATATTATGTCCGTCAAGCATGCTTCTTTGAGTGCTCACAAATTAAATAGGTGAGACTTGATTGGGCTATCTTGACAACACTGGTTGAACGATGGAGGCCCGAGACAAATACATTCCACCTGCGCCAAGGAGAGTCGACGATTATATTGCAGGATGTTAGGTTTTGCTTGGACTTAGAGTGGATGGAGATGTTGTCACAGGTAGCGACGACTTCGACTGGTCAGGGAAGTGTGAAGCATTGCTGAGTCAAGTTCCTCACATGAGGGGTGGAAGGATCAAGCTTGAATGGTTGAGAAACAATTACATGAATGTTCCGATCGATGCGACCGAGGAGATCGTCAAGATGTATGCCCGTGCATACATACTTCACATGATCGGTATTATTCTTTTCAAATTCCACGAAGGATTCGGTGCACATGAGGTGGTTGCCACTCCTGGAGGATCTTGTGGATTGTGGTGGATTGTCATGGGGGAGTGCCGTGTTAGCGTATCTGTATAGGGAGATGACCAAAGTGGCTCTCGTTCAAAACAAAGAATTTAAGGGTTGTCTTACTCTGCTACAGATATGATATTGGGAGAGATTGCATTTGGGTTGCCCAGATTTGAGGGAGGCACATGCTCTCGATGGCCATATTCCGTTAGGCTACAGGTATTACTAAGTTATTTAAAAAAAATATCATTACATGTAATTTTATACATTTATTTCAATTTATACTAACTCATTGTATATAAAATAGATGGAATGTATCCAGATCTTGGCATACCTCACCAAAGGGCCATGAAAACTTCTATAGGAACAAGCTCGATCAAATGGAGGACGAACATGTATTAAATCATAATATCTAAAAAAAATTAATCATTACATCATTTATTACTAAAATCTGCTTTGCTTTATCTTTTTATAGGTCAAGTGGATGCCATATGAACTAGTTTTAGAGTCACTACCAAATATATGCAGAGAAGAGCCGGATGAATGGCGTGCTCGCGCTCCGATCATATGTTTTGAGATTATCGAGATGCACGTACCTGATCGTGTGCTCCGACAATTTGAGCTACGACAACATATCCCGGACCCTGTAGAGATAATAGAGAGAAATCCCAGAAAAGATGCACATCGTCAAGATTGGGAACATATTCACCAAGCTTACATCGGGAGGTGTGATTGGAGGGAAGAATAGTTGGTGATGGAGAGGGCTGACGCACCTGACCTAGGTGTGTATTTGCGGTGGTATTGGGGGATTACTCGCCGATGGATATTTCAGGAGAACAAAGCTCCTAAGAAGTACATACCAAGAGGTCTAGTTGAGAGAGAGTTGGTAAGTGTATAAACAAAATATAAAGTTATCTTGTGAGTTTTATTTTATTATCATCCAAATCATAATATTTTTCTTGGGGTTTTTATCTTATAGGTACAAGAGCTCGAAGAACTTTCTACTATGGCACATGATACAATCCGAACGACTACCGAGCCAGGGCCGAGGAACACGTTCATTCGCATGATCAAAAAGATTTGGTCCGCTCTTCAGAGGACGCGTAATGTAAGACGTGATGACCGTGAGGAGTGACCAATTGAGTACGGTCGTCGACGGTTCCGAGGACACATGGGGGCAGGCTCAAGCGGTGCACATGATGAAGCTAGCGGCTCACAGCAGACCCACGCCAGATGTTCATAGTCGGTTCGAGTCAATGAGGATGTCATGCACTCCCAACTTCACACACAACCAGACGAGGAACTCATCTGAGCTCACGTTGAAGATGAACGTGTCAGGGGGAGAGGGAGAGGGGGAGGGAGAGGGAGAGGAAAGGGAATTGTATCCGATTGAAACTGAATATTATGTATCTGATTGAGTATTGAAGGGATGTTTGCTTTTGAAACTAAATATTATGTATTCGATTGAGTATTGATTGTTAGTATGTGAATTGCATGGTATGTATCCGAATGATTATGGATTTTTATTTGAGATTACTGATTGATATGTGTGTTATTGTGATTGTGATTGCATTGTGGATTGATATGTAACAGCAGGAGTTTGAATTTCTAGCTCAAAGTGTGTGTAGTAGAGTCTGCTAAATGGTCGATTGATATGTAACAGCAGGAGTTTGAATTTCTAGCTCAAAGTGTGTGTAGTAGAGTCTGCTAAATGGTCGGGGTTGGGAACCTCGACGATTTTGTGCACATACACGAAACGCTCGGGGTTTCCAAACCCGACCATTTTGGCGTAGGATAACTCCCTTATGCTAAATGGTCGGGGTTCCAAACCCCGACCGTTTTCAGCTCCTTCAGCGACTGAGCCAAAGCTCTCTGTCATATGGTCGAATTTGGGAAATGGGCTTTCGAAATAGTCAGGGTTACCAACCCCGACCAATTAGACAGGGCACTAAAACTGTCGGGGTTGGACACCCCGACTGATTTAGCTTGTACATAACTAAATAGTCGGAGTTGGCAACCCCGACTATTTAGAGACGTCATTAAAAAAACCGACTCATTTCGTGGCCACGCTGCTGATGTGGCCACGAAATGCGTCGGTTTTGAGAAATAAAATGAGAGTGGGTCGAATTTGTTAATAAAAACATTAAATGGGTTTAATTTGAAAATTTATTCAATCATTTTGTGGTTATTGGAACTCTAGTACACCTATCACGTTACAAAAAGCAAGTCCCTTAAATGGCCATTCACCTTTATTATCATCATTTTATATTTGCATATCTGCCCCCATATCTTTGCAATTAGGTGAAAAAGGTAAATACATGTTAAAAGACAAAAAGCAGGAAGTGCGTGGGTGGGTTGGGGGTGGGGGTAGCCCTAGAATTTGTAAATTTATGAACATGATTAGGGATTCAAATATATATCACTGAATTCTGAAAAAAATATTTAATCTTCAATTAGAATCCAATGTATATAACTGTTTGAAATCTTATGCATTTGAATCCATATCAAATATTTAGAATTTAGTTTTCATGGCTAACCTTGCTCTCAATGTTGATGATGGCCATCAACTCATTGCCAGAAAACTCGGTTTGAATAGCTCTAGCCTTAGCATCCATGGACTTCAAGCATTGAAGAGCACCAATCATGGAATCAAGGGTAGACGCTGGATCCAGTCTAATCTTGATCTTTTCCCCTCCTAAACTTGAATTTTCCACACTTTTGATCCTGAGCTCCTCATTGCGCTTTAATAGCTCCTCCTTCACTCCTTTGAGCTCTTTAACATAAAGAGCTGCCGACTGTACTATCGAGTTCTTATCACCCTGTCAATAAATAGAAAAAGAATCAAGTAAGGAGAGGGGGAAAAAAAGAATTCAAAAGTGCAGTTGATTTCTTTGATAAATAGAAAAAGAATCAAGTAAGGAGAGGGGGAAAAAAAGAATTCAAAAGTGCAGTTGATTTCTTTGAAGTCACAGTACGAAGAAATACCTTTGATCTATAGGGAAGCATGGAATGCAAATCAGCATAGCTCTGGCTCAACCTCTCTCTCCTCTGCCTCTCTCTCATCATATGTCGAAACCCTGGGCTATACTCACCAGTCCTAGCTTCCAGTCGATCTCTTGGAATTCTTCGTAAGAGATCAATCATTCTAAGATGAATGTTCTTTTTCTTATTTGCCTGTGAGCTCAAGAAGTCTGACGAATCATGAAACTCCGGTCTGGTGTAGCTCACAAATGCGCTACGAGGCACAGCAGACGGTTGCTCTGACAGAGGAGAAAGAATGCCGGAGTACCCTGACAGAGGAGAAAGAACGCCGGAGCTGGCACCGATGAAATCCAAGAGCTCCGGTGAGAAGTCCCACGGGCACAGCTCTTGTTGAGGAGGGGAGGAGGAAGGAGAGAAGAGGTCCATTTTTGGTAGCGATCGGTTTATGATTATTAGGATTCTGATGCCTTTGCTAATATATAATTTAGGACAAAAGGACTAGATTTTGGACAGTGGGACTGCCCGCTTGTTTTTGAAGCACGTGGTCAATGTGGAGAATTGGGGGTTAGATTTTGGAATTGGTCAAGCGTGGCGTTAACACAAAACAACACGTTTTAAGTTTAATGATCACCAACTTTCATCACGTGGGGTCGCTGTCTGCTTCTTTTCAACCCGCGTCCACCCGGTCTTAGTAGTTAGAAACGCTATTGCTTGAATGGTCAAAGAAAAGTAGTTGTTTTGGGTTTGATAACGGGTCGGGTCGGGCTTTATCCGTTAAGCTTTGATCCGTGTTCGCAGGAATTGAACCATAAATGAGCTGGCTTACGGAATCCAAAAGGATCTGGCTAAAGATATCAACATTCCTTTAGCAAATAAATGTCCACATAATCATGAACAAGTCAACGAGGGAAAGGGATTACCCTAGTTGTTAGTATCAGGTTAACAGACGTGAATCCTTACAGAACAAATTTATTTTAGGATCACACCTCGTCAATTAGTCTATTAAACTTGATGTTCTAATGAATATGCATGGATCTCAAACTTTGGATCAAACGCTGAAGACAAGATAAAAATTAGTTTAAAAATATGAACTCAATATGCAAAACTTAAGATAGATTTTTCGTAGAAAGATAGATATAACTCCCATTGAGAGTAAAGTGAAATACCGAATGAGATGATTTGAGCATGTGTTATGGAGACAACTGAATGCACTAGTTAGTAGAAATAATAAGATTCTAATTACCAAATAGTACGATGATAGAGTTAGGCCTGAAAGAACTTGATTAAAGGCAGCTGTTAACATAAGATTCATATAGCTGATGCCAAAAGTTAAGGATAAAGACTTGTTGTTTTCGGATTTAAACTGCCCCTGGTTCAATAAAGATCAAACTTAACCCTAGCCAATTTATCGGATGATGAGTTTGATCAAGTGCAGAATCTACGATACTCAGATTCAATCAACAACTGCAATCCCACCAAAGTATCCAAGCTTGAAACAGAATTCAGGTCAAGTTTAGATCAGTTATTGAGCAGGTAAATTCAGATCATTTTATTTGTCACAATTGTGGAAACCACATCGCATGGCAATTGGCAAATGTCTACACATGTCCCAATCCTAAGAAAATTGGTTTCAAGATAATGTCATGGGTCAAGGGCTATTATACTGATGGTGTTAGGACTTAGAATAATGTCATGTGGGGATTAACAACTTCCACGCAATTTCTAGGATATCAAATGGGGGGATTATAATACAATTCTTCTTCTGAGAGTGATAGATGAAGGTGATAGCAAAATGAATAGTTCCCTTTAGTTCCCACCAACTCGTCGTCATTGACTATGAAAATTAATTGCGACTTTGTTGCAATATGAATTTAGTCAAGTGCTCTCGCTAGGGTGGTACTGCTGTTACTGTTAACCATGTTTCTATCAGCAGCACAGCTTCTTGAGATAATACTTTTCGTGATTCAAATCTTCTCCTCTGTTTCTATGAACTTATAGTGATACTGTTTTGATAAATTCAAATCTATATATATTTATATATATATATATATATATAATGATGAGATAATATTGGTATGCTTGGTAGGGATGACACAATCCCCTCATCATATCAATGGAGGACCGACCATCAACAATGGGTTGAGGTATGGCATGCGGATAGGCAACCATTTTGAATAATGATGGATATGCCACCGTCACTACCTTATAAGCAAACTTTTTGCTTGGTATCAAAGAATACTCATTTTCTCTTCTCTCTCTCTCTCGTCTCTCCTCTCTCTCTCTCTCTCTATATAATATATATATATATATATTATATATATATATATATAAGTTAATGAGTATCTTTGTCATAGACGGGGATTTCCTCCTTGACTCTCAAAATCACAATGATTGACGACATATATGATCCGCTCCGTTTAAACTTGGTCTACCAATAAAATATCCTAAAACCGCCAAACACACCCAACGTTTGGGTAATCCGTCGTCGTTTGACTCCCCACGAGCCATGTGAAAAGTTCTACTTATTCAAAAACCCTTATAAATTGATACGAATGATGAGGTCAAACGACGACGTGTTTTACCCCAAAACTTGGTGTGTGGTGTTTTAGAATATGTAGATCAAGTCAACGGAGCGGACCATCCCAACATGTCGCTCAACTCCATGTGATTTTAGAGGCACATAGGAGGAAATCCCTCCTATGACAAGGATACTCATAATCTCCTCTCTCTCATCTCTCTCTCTCTCTACTAGTATATATATATATTAATATATATATATATAATAATATATATATTATATATATATATATCTTATATGATTATCTAAGCGTGACACTTAGGAACAATCCCCCCCCACCGCCGCCCCCACACCCCACACACGACACCACAATATAATATTATATATATAATATATATTAATATACTAATATATATATATATATTAATATTATAAAGAGAGAGAGGAGAGAGAAATAATATGGGTAAGCACAATTTTGTGCTTGGTAATGTAGCGTGGGCACAATCCCCCCATTCATCAATAGGGGACCACATTCACATAGGTTGAAGCAGTGCATGAGATAATGCAACAATCTGAATGAGTGTTTTGTGCTTGGTAGTGAGGGACACAATCGCCTCATTCATTCAAATAGGGGATCACATTCACCAATGAGTTGAGGAGTTGCATGGGTATGCAACAATTTAATGAGTGGGAGGGGATTATGCGCACCTCACTACGCAAGCAAAATTTTTGTGCTTGGTACCAAACATACCTTATTTCTAAATATATAATATATATTATATATATAATATATTATATATAATATATATATATATATATATATATATCATGCAGAATCAGCAGTATTTTCATCATGCATTATTAAACACTATATGAAGAACTACGATGATTATGTAAAGGACAAATTTTCAAAAACCATGCTGGTTTTAATTTATTCTCAAAAAAAAACCTTTTCAAAACTTAATTACAAAAAACAACCCAGTTGGATGAATACTGGGTCGTTTTTGAAAAAAAATTCAACAACTTTCACGGGGGTTGAACTCCCGTGAAGTTTTTTCTCATAACAAAACTTCACGGGAGTTCAACTCCCATGAAGTTTGAAATTTTTTTTTTCAAAAACAGACCTAGTTTCATCTAACTGGGTCTGTTTTTGTAATTAAAGTTGAAATGGGTCGTTTTTTATAAATAAATTTTAAAAATGGATGGTTTTGAAAATTTGTCCCATTATGTAACACCATATGAAGAACTGACGGTTGCATTATGTAACACCATATGAAGAACTGACGGTATATGAGAGTATAGATTTGAGAGTATAGATTTCAATACACTATCATCTTAGCAAGTTATCAACTATATTGCGGTCTTGGGGGTGCTAGTGTAGCACAGAGCTGACCAGCTACTGGCTATGACTTCTGTATCTCTCACTACTTAGGCATCTGTTATCCACAAATGAGGAGTTACACTTTGGTGAGATCCTGTTTCTCCATAGATCTATGTGTTAATCACCAGAAATACTAGACAATAATCAGCACTTATTATTTTAGAACATTGACATTATTTCAACAAATCTATCACCACATAATGGGTCTATGGGGACGGTTCGTGGGGCGCGGTTTAAAACCGTTCCCGTTGCTACCTAAGGGAACGGTTCTGTGACAGTTCCAACCGTCACGAATATATCTAAGACAACGCTTTAAACTAAAGCGTTGGGCTTGAATTAGGCTTAGTCTAAAATTTTACAATGGACTAAGGGGACGGTTTATTATGGGGTAAAGGGACGGTTTTATTATGGGCTTTTTAAGTTCACACTCAAACTTTAACAAAAGAGCATTTATTTTGTTTCTCTCGTATATACAGTCGCTCTTCACCCGATCGATTAGCAGCAAATCCCCCCGAAGACTTCTCGCTGAGTTCTAGGGTTTCCTCGCCATCCTGCACTCCCGCGCGTCCGCGAGCCACCTCGACTTCGTTTCCTCCTCTCGTCGACTCCCCCGTACGCCGCTCCTCTCCTTCACTTCCTCTCGTCCGACAAGTTCGTCGATTTAAAGGTCATCCCCTCTCTAGCTTCCTATGATTTGGGGTACTTATCTCTCTCCTTTTCAATCATCAAACCTAGGGTTTCAAATTTTCATTTTTCTCTATTTAATAAAAATTTTATTTGATTTTACAAATTAGGGCTTTGTTGTCTCGGTTGATCTTTGTTGAAAATTCTACATCTTTACTGGACAAGGTAAATCCTCAAATTTGAATTAGTATATGTTCTTAATTTTTGTTTAAATTTGAAAGTGAATTAGTATATTTTCTCTATTAGTATATGTTCTTGATTTCTGTCTGATTTGTGCTAATTGCTTCTAATTTTGGGGAAATCACTGCCTTTCTTATGGGATTTCGTCGGATTTTTGCTTGATTTGTTGAATTTCGGCAATTACAAGTATAATTTCGCCATTTTTAGGTGCTTAATTAAGAACACAAAATCACTTCGCTTCATGGTATGGCATGTTTATAACAGCTTATCAAGTACCTTCCTTACATATAGTCATCAATTAAATTTCATATCTTATTCAAGTTTAGAATTTTCTAGTCATCAATTAAATTTATATCTTATTCAAGTTTAAAATTTTCTACTTATGCCTTGCCTACTCGTTTGCTCTAGCACTTTTATCTACTGGCGATTTAAAGAAAGAGAGCTTTGTATAAGTTTGAATTTGTAAGTCATATGAAATGTCATAATGCAGTTGACTGAAATTTTCACATTTTTAGCGAGTTGATGTGTGTTAACTTTCATAACCATTCCTGCATCTATTCCTCTACTAATGGATTAAACATACTTGAGAACCCACTCAAAAGAAAGAAAAAAAAAACAAGGATAAACTGAAACACCAATATTAAATAGTATAAAATGACAGACACTACATGTCTTGAGTCTAGGGGTGGAAATGAACTGAATTTGGATCGAATACCACAATATTCGTATCCATATCCAGCTCATGTTCGACTATTCGCATTCAAAACGAAGTAGGAAATGTATGATCGTATTCGATTCGATTAGTATTCGAATATTCAACAACTATTTGCCAATTCTTGGTTTTTAGGTAGTCTTTTGTGAATTATTTGGTTCATATTCGTTAGATATTAGGTAAGTATTTGATAAATATTCATTATCATATCCTAGTCTTATAATGCAATCAAGCATGAGCCAAACATGATACAACAAATGAATATGCAACCTAGAGATAAATGTAATATTCACAAATCAAAACTACTTATATAAGGCTCTATGTGTAGGGATGCATAGAAATATAATAACTATAAATTATAGGTCTAAAGTATAATATATAAATGAATAGTTTATTAAACAAATGAATAGAATATATCTACGGTCACAGAAGTCGGGAACGTGGTATGCTATAGCGAACCACGACCCAGTGCAATCGTCCCAGATTCACATGGAACACAACCCGATTCACCCAACTCCACTGACCCGATTTGGAATTCAAACTAGTTAAAATTTTGAAAAAAATAACTCTTTTTAAAAGA